TATTGTATAATATATAAAGAATATTATAGCAGCTAGTTTTTTATGGTTATTTGATTAATTTAGCTTCAAAATATGATTATATGATCCAATTTCCCAATTTTTAGCTCTTCCGATCAGAGAAAGAAGAAGAAGAACTCTCAAACTCTTGATTCCTTCACATGGTATGCCTCTCTCTCTCTCTATTCTCTTGCTGAACTGATTTTTTTTTCTGAGGATTATCACCTCTTTACGGTTATTTTTTTGGATTGAATTTTTCTGATCGATAATGTAACTGCAATTCTATGATTTCCGCTATCGATCTGTGATTCGTGTTCATCAAATGACCAAATTTTGATTTGATTCTGTCCGATTACATGCTCGATTAGATCTTTGTGACTGTTTGTTGATTCTCTGAAAAATATATTAGCAGTTAGCCGATAAGAAGATAACACTAAAAAAGCACTCTTGTCGTTGGTATTTGAAAACCTTTGGGGCTTTCAAAGTTCAACGCAAATGCGGTAAAGGCAAACAGATATTTGGATCGTAAGTCATGTTTAAGCAAATCCAGATTATCAATGGTTCTTGAGGAAACATGTCTAGCCTCTAACTTTAACTTTAAATCCCCCTGCTTATTTATGCTTGAAAGCGAAATCAACACAATGTTGAGTCACACAAGTGATGGTTTAACCAAGTCTTGTTTCTGGATTCGTCTGTGATATTGCCATGATCCCGTGATCGTTATGTGGTTTATGTATTATGATCTGCTATTTGTTGGTGGTTTTTTAGTCTTCTCTATCTCTGTTTCCAACTAGTTTTATCCCTAAACCGTGAGGTTTTTACTTCCTCTTCACTTTTGGCTTTCGGTTTGCTATCATCAGCTTCATAATCTCACCATAAGATTGTAGAAATTCAGGTCAAAACTGATGCGATTGTGATCTAATCCTTTTTCCATTAAGATTGCTCTTGTTTCGTTATGATTTTAAATTGAATCACAAAGACATTCGTTTTCAGCTTCTTTTCATTAATGATTTTTGTTCTGGTTTCTGCAGCTGCTGAAGAAGATGCAGAGTGAGGAATCTCACGAGCTTGCGGATGAAATATCCAATGACAAGACCCAAGGAAATGATGAAGAGTCAAAAAGCGGATAGAAAGAAGAAGAAGTTGAAAGAGATATTGCTAAAGGAAGCTACGAAAGCTGACAATCAATGAGTTTGCTACTTGAGTCGCATCCTATCACACATGGATCAGGTTATACTTCGTCACATTCTCTCAGTTTGGAGAAATCAGAAGGATTTAATTTGCACATGAAGGTGAATTTTATCCCGCTGATCACCCCTTGTTTGATATCAATTTGTGCACAGTTTTAGATTTGTTTTTAAACTTGTCCACTTAATTGTGTGATCCTTCTACTTTTGATATTAACATTCAAACTTCAAAATATAAAATTTTAAAATATATATATATATTTTTTTTAAAAACCCATATTAAGACTCTACCAATGGAAGAGAAAAATATTAAAACTTTTAACAAAGTTCTTAAAATAGAATGATAGAAAATTTATAGGGGTAGACATATATAACCAAATCCGAAAATCCGAACCGAATCGATCCAGAAAAAAACCGAACCGAACTGATTCGGTATTGCTTTAATAACCGATTGGATCTTATACTGGTTGTGGTTCGGGTCTGGGTTCGGTTCGGTTATACCCAAAAATCCAAATGAACACCTGAAGCAATTGAAATCACCCGAAGCCTTTGACTATGGAAATCACGATTTCCACTTCGACTATGGAAATCCGATTGAACACCCAACTTTCCCGCTGAATCTCTTAGAGATATTCTCGGATCAAACCAATATCCTAATTTTTTAATCCCCAAATTCAAGTTGGAATCCCTAATCATACTTTGATACTGATTTTAGTGTTTATTTTGACTATTCATTTTTTTTAAAATTTCAGATATTGTTTGTGTACTTCGGATATTTTTGAGCAAGTTTGGTTACAATTCGGATACATATAACTGAAACACTCGAGAACCGAACCGGACCCGTTTGTAACCAAAATTTTTCGGATCAATATCAGTTTTTATATATAATGTAAGAACCGACCCGAACCCGAATTATAACTACCCGAACTCGATCCAAAAATTAGAAATACCCGATTGGGATCTTCAGCTCTACACCCGAAAACCCGATATCCAAAAGAACCAACCCGATCGAGTCCGGGTTATCCGAACGCCTATCCTTAAAAATTTATATTAAAAAATCTGTGAGGTTGTACCGATGGAGATGGTCTTATTGTTGCAAAAGCACCTTAACTCTCAAACTGTATGGGACAACACGAGTTGCTGCAATTCCAGAGAAACCACAATCGAAAAATAAACCAATCAGATTACTAAACATACGCACAACAAAAATCACAGACTCAATTTTTGCCCAAAAGCTTTCAGAATCCATGGATGCTGTACATGTCCATAGGCTATATGATAGTAAATGAAAAGAAGCTCTTGTTTTAAACGTCGTTCTTATTGACCAAAAACAGTACGCAAGATTCACTACAGAGCCCATTCATCAAACAGTAGGAGCAAGAGCACACTCGAGTCTATAAATCTCACGGATTAAAATAACAGGATCAAGCCACTCGACTTTCCCCAAATCTCCTCACTGCTGCGTCTTTCAAGCACAATCACCGCACCAGTGCCTTCCCTAATAACTGAGAGGCTTCAAGCAAATTAAAATTTTGGGGCCTTATATTTTTTCTATATATTAATCTAAAATAAATATTTCTACTATATTATCTAATTTTCTTTATGATTTTTGTTTATATTTAATTTCACAATCATATACTTTTAACTTATAAAAAATGAATCAACTTAATTATTCAAGTATTTCAGGTTATATAAATGAAAACATTATATTACTATGGTTTTTCATAACAACTAAAAATACTAACACCATTTATAATACCATTGTGTAAAACATTATGAAAAAAATATGAAATAGTAAAATGAAAAGGTTTAAGTAGCCTATATATTTAATTTTAATATTATTAGATTAGTGAAAAATATTTGTTAATGATTAAATGATAAAAATAAGAAAAAAAAATTAAAATCCATCTAGCATGAAACCAATTATGAAGTGAAAAAGCACAAATATTCAAAAATATAATACAAATCACAATATTAATTGAACTGTGTGAATTAGTGACAATATAAATGGAATTAATACACTACTCTTACTTATGTTATCAGATTTCTAAGTGTGGTCTCTAAATTACAAAATAAAATTGTGGCTTAAAGCACATGCTTTATCTGCCTTAAGGCAGGGACGGGCCTGCACCGCACACATTTAAATCGTCTTATTCTTACAGTGACGATCATACGTGGACCACAAAACAGCCAGCTTCCCACCATACTCAACCAGTTTAACACTACCACCTTCAGCTACCCTAGGCAGTCCTTCCACACCCTTCATATTCACCCAATAGTGATTCTTAGTGTCGTACCATTTGAGTCCCAGCGTAGTACTACCGCAATACAGTACCTTGTCGATCACGCAACCAGAATCCAAAAGAATCACCCACACTCCAGTCGCTTCCCATTTATCTTCCTTTGGATCGTAAGCTAAAGTCTCTGCCTCAAACATGTAGTAGATTCTTCCTTCAATCACTGCGCTATATACAATACATGACTGCTGCGTCTCTCTGCAAGAAGTGGGCACAACAGTCTCCCAAGTTTGGGTTTTTGGGTCGAAAACCTCCATCCAAGTGGAAGAGGATTTGCATCCTCCAGCTACATAGATCTTTCCATCACAGACATTGGCCACTGGGTAATGCCGCTCCACACGCATGCTCGGAGCCTTGCGCCAAGCGTGGCAATGGCAGTCAAGAACCCAGACGTCAGAAGCAGAAGCAGACGAGCCGTAAAATATATTTCCATAAAAAATAGTCAATTAATCAAACTAGCTATTCCAAAAATGAAGAAGCAAGGCAAAATGCATGGTTTCATCTGAGTGTACAAAGAAATGACTAAAACACAATGGAGACCAATAGAGGATCGGATCATGCCTCATGGAACTCTTTTAAAAACTTTGTGGCAAATAGAACAAAACCTATACTTGGATCAAAAACTTACAATACTGAAAAGAAAGCAGAGAAACTTTCTCGCGTCGTTGAAGAGTTGAATACCAAAGCATATATAAGGCTCTTGTACCTCTGAGACCTGATAATCTCCTGGAAGCAGTACAATGCGTGTGGAAAGCAAAGACTAGTACTTGTGGAAGAAACGGGACAACAACAAAGGAAAGCTACAAACAGAAACAGTCTCAAAAGACTCAAGTTAGTTCAACACGTCTCAGATGGAGAGAGTAATGTAAATTATGTAATCGCTTGAGCGAATCTCAAGATCCAAATACGTATCATATCTCAAGATTTTATAATAAAACGTTCATTCTTATTAATTTCGGAGCAAGTAACATGGGTTATATGTACAAAATAAAAGATAATCTATAGAGGATTAAAACTCAAATATCCTGAGAAAGCAGAGAACATTTCTATGGCAGGTTCATGAACAAATCAAAAACCTGAACTCGAAACCCCAAAAATGCAGAGAAATCTTCTATGGTGTGGATTCATAAACAAAACCTAAATTTGGATCAAACAAAAACCCAAATTCTGAGTCTCGGTACTCAATGGCCATCAATTTAGATCCCAATTGTTGCAAAAGATCCTTCATTCTCACACAGTATGGACATCACAACTTCCAGAGAATAAACAGATCATATATATTATACTAACATACGCTCAACACAAAACACAAACTCCCTTTTTACCCAAAACTCCAAAAGGATTTACAATCCATGGAGGCTTTAGTCGTATATATTTTCATAAGCTATATTGTTTATGATAATAAATGAAAAGAGGCTATATTCTTCTTGGAACATGGTTATACGCGTACACAATAAAAATATTTTATAGTCTCCAGCACAAAATTAGCCGATCTTCTACATTTGACTCAAGATTCACACTAAAGAGCACAAACGAGACTATAAAAGTTTGGGACTGTAAGAACAGTATCAAACCACTCGACCGTTCCCCAAATTTCATCATTTCCGCGTCTTTCAAACACAATCACCGCACACCAAACCCTCGTCTCCTTAGAGACATAATACATGTTCTTCGAGAAAACAGCCAGCGTCCCACCATAATCCGCCAGTTTAACAGAATCATAACTAGTAAACTTAGGCAGTACTTCCAAACCCTTTATATTCACCCAGTTGTGTTTCTTGGTGTCGTACCATTTGAGTCCCTGTGAAACACTACCGCAATACAGTACCTTGTCGATCACGCAACAAGAACCCAAACCACCCATTCTCTCTCTAATCGCTTCCCATTTATCTTCCTTTGGATGGTACGCCAAAGTCGTCGACTCAAACATGTAGTAGATTCTTCCTTCAATCACTGTGCTATTCAATTTGATATTGTTGCGTATATTTGCAAGAAGAGGGCACAACACAGGCAGACGGCACAACACAGGCTCCCAAGTTTGGGTTTTTGGATCGAAAACCTCCATCCAATTTGAAGAGGATTTGCAGTCTTGGCATCTCCACGAGGAGGGCTTGCAGGTTTCGCATCCTCCGGCTACATAAATCTTTCCATCAAAGACGTTGACCGCTGCGTGATATGCACGCTCGACACGCATGCTCGGAGCCTTGCGCCAAGCGTGGCATCGGCAATCTAGAACCCACACGTCAGAAGAAGGCGAACCGTACATTGGTCCGCTAATGGTGTACATGCTCGAACCAAGTGAAACCACACGCCCACAATGAGCTTCAGAAGAACTAGGGATTGGGACTAAGAGTTTGCCACTTGACGTCTTCTCCTTTGTTCGGTTAGGTTTCTGAGAGAGAGTAAACCAGCGAGGGTTAGGGTTAGGGTTATGTTTAGGGTCATGAAGCTGTAAGCACACATAAAGACAACTCTCGGTGCGGCCCAACAGTGATCGGGTCTTGTAAAGCTCCGGTGAAGAAAGGAGAGACGGAAATTTATTGGAGACGAGGGAAAGAGTCGGGTAGTACAATCTAGAGATGCGTGCGAAACAGCTCAATAACAAATCATCATTAAGAGACGAAAACGGTGTCGATTGCTGTGGCCTCTGTGGAAGTACCGGCGACGTCTGCTTAATCAATGGCTCTTCGCAGGGAGATCTAGCCGGAGACGACATTAGCAGTGAGATTCGTGGACTTGATTGGACTTTCAATTCAAGAGTTCTCGGACTTACATATAGTGTATAAAGGTATTAATGGGCCTTAGACCAGCTCCATCGTTAGGATATCCAAAAAAATATCTAAACAACTAAATATTATTATTTAAATATAATTAAAATAAATAATTAGTTTTTAATGCTGAAAAGAAAAATCAGCCATTCACAATATAACAAGTGAATAAAAAAATTAAAAACCGTTTCTCTCACATAAATTATGCCATTATATTAAATTATTTTTGGAATCCAAATAGTAGATCCAAATTATGATTTTGGATAAATCATTTAGTGACGTTTGATAAAGTTTTAGTGTTTAGAACATCTCCAATAAAAACAGAGTATCTCAACATTTAACATTTTTTTACACATTATTATTTAACATATATTTTGAGAAACATATCTAAACATTTATTTCTTTGTCATTAGTTTACTTTTTCTTTATATCACAAAATTAACTAAAAAATTAAATTATATTAAAAATACTAATATATATTTGTTTAGATACTCTTTTGAGTGATGAAAATCTACTTTTAGACAGATTTATGTGAAGTCAAGGTGTTAATAATATTTTTAATATTTTTAAAAAATATATATGAAAATTTAACATAGTAAAAATTATCAAAATCTTTCTATTTTAGTGAATTTTTAAATTAAATTTTCTTCTAGATAAAATGTTTTCTTTTTCCAAATAAAGAAATAAAAACTTTCTTACTTCAATTCTAAATTAAAGTTTTAACATATCACTAGGTGTTTACCCGTGCTACGCTGCAGGATATTTTTCTAGATTTGTATATATTTTTAATATAATAAAATTATTTATATATTTTTAATGAGTATTATATTTATTTTTTATTAGCTTAAGTTATATATTTATATGTTTTAAATCTGAATAAATATTATATATCATTAAGTTTTTTATTTTTTAAATTATAATCTACTATCAAATTTGTTTAGCTAACTATCTATAAATGTATATGTAAGAATAAAACAATACATTTTTAAGTACCTTCAAGCTAATGGTAGATGTAATTTATTTTCTCTACTAAATTGCTACTTGATCCTCCTTTGAGCTTATATAAAGCAAATTACCATTTAAAAAAATATTAATTAATATGATTATTTTAAATTATAAAATTTATTTATTTATCAAATATTTATTATAGACATATGTTTCTAAAACTACCAAATTATAATCAATAACATTCATATCAAAATCATTACTATTACTTTAGAACTAAATAGAAAGTTCTATTTCAACTGTTGAAATATCAATTTAGTTGATGTTAAATAATTCAATTTTGGTTACTATAAACATATTATAACTTGAAAATTTAGCACAGAGAAATTTTATCTTTTTACAAAAACCGAGAAATTGCATTTTCCGACAAAAAAAAAAAAATATTCCCCACGAAACTGAGAAATAGCTTATTCCCGCCAAAATCAAAAAAAAAATTTATTTTCTTGTCAAACCTGAAATTTCATTTTCCTACCAAAACAAAGAAATTGCATTTTCCCTCAAAAACAAAAAAATCACATTTTCCCGCGAGAACCTGTGTTTTTCCGTCAAAACAGAGAAATCAAGTTTTTTCACCAAAACCAAAAAATTTCATCTTCCTGCAAAAACAAAAAATAGTATTTTTCCGTCAAAACCAAAAAATTATTTTCCCGCAAAAATCGAGAAATTGTCTATTCCCACCAAAACAAGAAAAAAAAATTTTCTCGTCAAATCAAGAATCACGCCTTCTAACCAAAACTGATAAACTACAATTTTCTGCAAAAACTAAAAATTGCATTATCTCCTGATAAATTGTGTTTTCCACGAAAATTAAGAAATCATATTTTCCCTGGAAAAATAAAAATCAAATTATTTGTCAAAAACTGAAAATTTGCATTTCCCATCAAAATCAAAAAACTGTTTCTTCCCGCCAAAATCGAGAAATTTTGCTTTTCTATCAACCCGAGAAATTATATTTTCTGCCAAAATTGTCAAATTACAATTTTTTGCAAAAATTAAGAAATTACATTATCCATCAAAAGCCGAAAAATTGCATTTTCTATCAAAACCGAGAAATCGTATTTTTCGTCAAAATTGAAAAGTTGCATTTCCCTCGCATTTTCTCGTCAAAATTAAATTTTTTATTTCTCACTAAAACTAAAAATTCACATTTGGCTACCAAACCCGAGAATTCGCTTTTTTCCGCCATAACCGAGAAACTATGTTTTCCTACCAAAACTGAAAATCACATTTTTTTACCAAAACCAATAAATTCTCTATTTCCGCCAAACCCAAGAAAATTTGTTCTCGGTAACCAGTGAAAATGCGAATCTCCAAGCTGTGGTGGTCTGAGTTTCTCCTAATTTGCTTTCGCCTTCCATTTTTTTTTGTAAACTTTGGGCTTTTTAATGGGTCAGCAAAATAGTAAATTGATTTTATTATTGTGTTAATAATATGTATTATTGTTATGTTTTTATTGGTTCAAATTTTTGCTGATGTGTGAGCTTCTTATAACATAACGCTTTTTGCATTATTGTTATAGAAGCATAGTTGATGATGAGTCTACACTTTCTTCAATCATATACATTTCTATCAAGCAAACACATAGTTAGAAATTTTAATTTTTTGCAGTTATATATTATTTGAGTTTCGGTTTGGCAAAAATATAAAACAAAGATTTAATTTTATTATTTGTTGTTATTTATTATTTGGGTTTGTTAAAAAAAAAATAAAACAAATTTTTTTTTATTTGCTGTTATTTATTATTTGGGCTTGGGCTTGACCAAAAAATAAAACTAAAATTAACAATAAAAAATATTTGAGTTTTTAATGGGTTTAAATTTAAAAATTAAAATAAATTGATGAGATGTATTAATGAAATGTTTTTATTGGTATTTTTTTTGCTGATGTGTCATTTCCTAAAAGCTTAAGTTATCTATTTATATTTTTTAAATCTGAATAAACATTATATATATATTTTTTAAAAATTATAATTTGCTATTAAATTTAGTTAGCTAACTAATTATAAATGTATATATAGAGATAAAATATATAAGAATAAAGCAATATATTTTTAGTATCTTCGAGCTAATGGCAAATGTAATCTATTTTCTCCAATAAATTGCCTCATGATCCTCCTTAGTAATTATATAAAGCAAAATGCCATTTAAAAAAAGATTTATTAATTAATATGATTATTTTGAATTATAAAATTTATTTATTTATCAAATATTTTATCATAAACATATGTTTCTAAAACTACCAAACTATAATCAATAACATTAATATCAAAACCATTGCTACTGCTTTAGAACTAAATAGAAAATTATGTTTGAACTCTTAAAATATCGTTTTAGTTAAAGTTAAATAATTAAATTTTGTTTACTGTAAACATACTTTAACTTGGAAATTTAGCACACAGAAATTTCATCTTCTTACAAAAATCGAGATATCGCATTTCCTGTCAAACCAAAAAGAACTTCATTTTCCCATTAAACTGAGAAATTAGTTATTCCCGTCAAAACCAAAAAATTCATTTTCTCGTCAAACCTAAAACCTAAAATTTCATTTTCCCGCAAGAACCTGTGTTTTTCCACCAAAGCCGAGAAATTACGTCTTTTCGAAAAACAAAAAAAATGCATCTTCCTACAAAAACCAAAAAAAAATTATATTTTCCTGCCAAAATCAAAAAATTTATTTTTCCTGCGAAAACTGAAAAATCGCCTATTCCTGCCAAAAAAAAAAAAAATCATTTTCTCGTCAAGCCCAGAATCACACTTTCCTACAAAAACAAATAAACTACAACTTCTTGCGAAAACCAAAAATTGCATTATCTCCTGTAAAATTGTGTTTTTCTGCGAAAACTAAGAAATTGTTATGTTTTTATCGGTTCAGATTTTTGCTGATGTGTGAGCTTCTTATAACATAAGGCTTTTTGCGTTGTTGTCATGGAAGCATAGTTGATGCTGAGCCTACACTTTTTCAATCATATAAGTCTATGTCAAACAAACAGATATCTATAATTTTTTATTATTTATTTGTTGTTATTTATTATTTGGATTTGATTTTGGCAAAAAAAAAGAAAACAATGATTTAATTTTTTATTTGGGTTTGATTTGGCAAAAAATAAAATAATAAATTTTTTATTTGCTGTTATTAATTATTTGGGCTTGGATTTGGTAAAAAAATAAAACAAAAATTAATAGAAAAAATATTTAGGTTTTTAATGGGTTTAAGTTTAAAAAGTAGATGAGATGTATTAATAAAATGTTTTGATTGGTGATTATTTTTGCTGAGGTGTCATGTTTATAAAACTTAAAAAATCTGAGGTGTCAAACCATAAAGAGACTTTAGTGTTATTGTTGTGTTGATTCATCCACACTTGATGTTAATTTAAATGAATTTAAATTTAAAAACTAAAGAAATAATTAATAAGTTTAACTAAGTATTAAACCACAAATTAAACGATTTGAAGCAATTTAAATCGATTTGGCCAAACCAACTGTGTAAACTGAGATTCCCATTCATTTTACCAACTTTATTAAAATCATTTCAGTTGTCGATGCATGAGTGTCTAGCCAGACGCCTAGGTGTGCTGCCTAGGCCGTTTTTTATTGAATATTGATAAATATAAGTAAAAGAATCAGAGTTTAGCGTGTAAAAGCAAGAAAACATTGGAAACAACAAAGTAAATGAAATGAAATTAGTACTTTCTATGTTGCAAAATCTCCTTCACTCTCACACAGTTTGGGACATTCACGACCTGCCGAAATTCCAGAGAGACCACAACAACTCTATAAAAAGTTCCAGCACTCAAGTATCACTACAGAGCCGATTCATCAAACAGTATGAGCAAGCGCACACTCGAGTCTATAAAAGTCTGGGACAGTAACAGCAGTATCCAACCACTCGACCGTTCCCCAAATATTCTCCTCGCCGCGTCTTTCAAGCACAACCACCGCACACGAAACCCTCGTCCCCTCATAGCCGGTCTCCTCGGAAAGAAAATACCTGGTCCACAGAACAGCCAGCTTCCCACCATAATCCGCCAGTTCAATAGAACTGCAACTAGATAACGTAGGCAGTCCTTCCAGACCCGTCATATACACCCAGTAGTGACTCTTAGTGTCGTACCACTTGATTTCACCGGAATTTTTACTATAGCAATAGAGAACGTTATCGATAACCAAATAAGAATGCCAATCCTTTTCTAAATCCAAAGGAGCCATCCCCTCGATCGCTTCCCATTTATCTTCATTTGGATCGTAAGCCAAAGTCTCTGCCCCAAACATGTAGTAGATCTTTCCTTCAATCACTGCGCTATAGATTACACGACTGCTGCGTCTCTCTGCAAGAAGAGAGCACAACACAGGCTCCCAAGTTTGGGTTTTTGGATCGAAAACCTCCATCCAACTTGAAGAGGATTTGCAGTCTTTGCATATCCACGAGGAGGAGTTGCAGGTTTTGCATCCTCCAGCAACATAAATCTTTCCATCAAAGACGTTGGCCGCTGCGTGATATGCACGTTTTACACGCATGCTCGTAGCCTTGCGCCAAGCGTGACAATGGCAGTCAAGAACCCAGACGTCAGAAGAAGGCGAACCGTTGCTTGGTCCGCCAATGCTGTAGATGCTCGAACCAAGTGAAACCACGCGTCCCGGATAAGCTTTAGAAGGATTCGGACCTGGAATTGGGACTAAAAGTTTGCCACTTGACATCTTCTCCTTCTTTTGATTAGGGTTCGGACAGAGAATGAACCAGCGAGGGCTAGGGTTAGGGTTAGTGTTATAAGAGAACTTAAAGCACACATAGAGCCAAATCTCGGAGCGGCCCAAGAGGGATCGGGTCTTGTGAAGCTCCGGCGAATAGAGGAGAGCTCGAAATCTCTTGGAGACGAAGGAGAGAGCCGGGTAGTGCAATCTAGAGATGCGTGCGCAGCAGGTCATCAGCAAATCATCAGGGAGTGACGAAAACGGTGTTGATTTCTGCGGCGTCTGTTGTGGAAGTACCGGCGACGATTTCTTCTTCTTCTTAAACAATGGCTCTTCGCCGGGAGATCTAGGCGGAGATGACATTGGCAGTGAGATGTTTCAGGGAAAGTTAAGGATTTGAATGTTCTCTGACTGTACTACCGGTAGGGTCTCGATGGGCCTCAATTTATAAAACTATTGAAATACGGATCCATATGTATGATGATTTCGGAAAAATAATTAGGGCTTAACCTCCAATTCCAATTTATAGACGGAATAAATTAGTTATCTGGCCAAGAAATTGGAAAACTTTTGCTATGTTACTTGGTTTTCTTATAAAACTTAAAAATCCAATTATGAAATTTACTCACCATACATTCTCTGTATTCATATGTTTCTAAAATTAGAAAGCGATTCAAAGTTCAAAGTTAAAAGTTCTCTCAGATACAAGGAGGCTCGCTTCTTTTCATATGATTTCTTCAATAAAACGTTTAATACTATTTTCAAAATCCAGGATTGGAAAACGAATCTACGATTGCAATGTTAGTCATTAAATCATCACATGATCTGATTTATGATTTCCAACATGCCAAAAAATTTAAGTTTATTTTTTTGTGTCTTCTTGTTAGTGTTACCTATTAGGCTATTACACAAGGAGCGATTAGAGCGTTCGTGTATAAACCCATTTTCTAATTGATAGTAAAAGTTTGTGAGAGACGTTCCCATCCGAGACATAGTGGTGAGAGGCTGGAAACTAGTGATCGAATTATGTGTGTCAAGTTGAAAGAATTAGGGTTAAGCAATATCAAGAGAAAACAAAGAACCTTTATTTGGCAGGTTCATGCAAAAGCTATACTGCAAACAAAAACCCAAACTCGAAACTCCAAAAATACAGAGAAATCTTCTATGGAACAAAACCCTTATATTTGGTTCAAACAAATACGTAAAGTCTGAGTCTCGGTACTCAAGCAAGAGGAATAGTATAACTTTCAGAAAACATTAAAAACAAGTAAACGAAATGAAATTGATACTTTCTTTGTTGCTCAATGGCCAAGAATTTAGTTCTTTATTGTTGAAAAATCTTCTTCACTCTCAAACAGTATGGACATTCCAGAAAAACCACAATCACAAAATAAACCGACCAGATTAATAAATATACTAAACATGCGCACAACAACAAAACACAAGCTCCCTTTTTAAACAAAAGCTTTCAGAACAAGTAACAAGTGTTATACATATAGAGAATTTAAACTTAGTATGTATTTTTGCTCAAAAAAGTAATAGAGAAGCCGGTTTTGTTACGAGCTTGAGCAGGTTTGAAATCAGCAATAAGAATTGGTTTACAAGATCGTAAAAAGCAACCAAATAGAACAAGGAATTATGTTCACCACACGACCAAACTCTCTCCAATTCTGCATCTTCTTTCTATGCATATGTGGAAAGCAGTAACTTGGTGACAGTCTCCAGCACAAAACTAATCCAATACTCAAAATTGAGCCGATTCATCAGACAGTAGGAGCAAGAGCAATCTGGAGACTATAAGACTTATGGATTAAAAGAACAGTATCAAACCACTCGACCATTCCCCAAATCTCCTCACTGTTGCGTCTTTCAAGCACAATCACCGCACACAAAATCGTCTTATTCCTACAGAGAAGATAAGACCTGGACCACAAAACAGCCAGCTTCCCACCATAATCCACCAGTTTAACACTACCAATATCAGCAAACTTAAGCAGTCCTTCCAAATCAAAACCCTTTATATTCACGCAGTAGTGTTTCTTAGTGTCGTACCATTTGAGTCCCCGTGGAGTAGTTCTATCGGAATAAGAATAGAGTACCTTGTCGATCACGCAACAAGAATCAAAACGAGGCATCCTCTCTTCTAGCGCTTCCCATTTATTTTCCTTTGGTTCGTATGCCAATATCTTTGTCCCAAACAAGTAGTAGATTCTTCCTTTAATCACTACGCTGTTCGATACACGACTCCTGCTTCTCTCTGCAAGAAGAGGGCACAACACAGGCTCCCAAGTTTGAGTTTCTGGATCGAAAACCTCCATCCAATCTGAAGAGGATTTGCAGACTTCGCATATCCACAAGGAGGAGCTGCATGTTTCGCATCCTCCGGCCACATAAATCTTTCCATCAAAGACATTGGCCGCTGCGTGATATTCACGCTCCACACGCATGCTCGGAGCCTTGTGCCAAGCGTGGCATCGGCAGTCAAGAACCCACACGTCAGAAGACGGCGAACCGTTCATTGGTCCGCCAATGGTGTAGATGCTAGAACCAAGTGAAGTGATAGGGTCAGGTTTTACCCAAATAAAACTACTGCAAGTGCACAGCAAAAGCAGTTGTAGTACAAGGGGTATCGAAATCCCAAGAGAGTAATGCAGACTACACTATCGAATGTAGATTCGGATTAAGCTAAGCAAAATATGATGTATTTAATGCGAATGAATGAATAAAAGTAAGCAAACGATTGTGTGATATGATCTAAGTTCAAGAAGACTAAAAGCGCTAAGTCAGGATAATTCGCAGGTTTGAATCCAAGAATGTATGATGCAGAAAATCAGGAATGATTAAGAACCATTTTAAACATGAATCTCTAATGCATAACTAATCAATTCTCATTGTAAAAGTTATCTATGCCTAAATCACAGAGTTTCAAATCTCTTTGCAAATCCTAACAACCTAAGCATGCAGGAATGATCAGATTCAATTGTTTACAAAACTCCTAAGCCAAATCTCTTTGTACTAGGGCGTTTTGCTCATCTAATACTAGTTCAGGTGATTAATAATGCTCTCACATCTATCAAAAACCTAGGGTTTCGAAATCCAGATGATGTGTCTAAGAAATCGATATGAATGCAAGCACAGATGAAGAACCAATGAATTTCCTATAAGTTTTTAGCAATTCTACAAACTCTTCTTCAACCTTTGAAAAGCCCTAACTAAACTAACAAACTACTCAGACATGGTGATTTGAGAAAACATCATGAAAAGAATAGATTGCATAAAAGAAATAAGAAGTAGAAATAAAGGAGTTCAAAATCTGCTCTGAAGGAGTCTGATTTGTCTCTCCAAAAGCTTTCTACAAATCTCTCTCTAAAGCTCTCAAAAATAATAAGATACAAGATATCTGCCAAAAGAATGGCTGAAAAACCTAATATACAAGCTAAAACACGATTTGAGGCCTTTTTGCAAAAACTGGAACTTCTGGGCCAAAACTGTAATTTCTTCCCAATCTTTTTAAAACAGGCCACGACCCCTTTCTTAATGGGTGACGAGTGTCACCAGATTGGTGACGAGCGTCACCCATATGCATACTTTTTTTCTTCGAGCTAGGTACTTCGTGGCTTCAACTCAAAATGCTTCAAAAAGCTCCAATATCTCCAATTATGCTCCAGACATGCTATAACCTGCAAAGACTCTTCTAGGACTCTAAAAAGACCAAAAAGACTCAATAAAAAGGACTGATATCATGGTTAAAAATCATAAAAACCATGATATATCATGAAGCCACACATTCCCGATGAGCTTCGGGAGAGTTGGGGATTGGGACCAAAAGGTTGCCACTTGACTTCTTCTCCTTCTTTCGATTAGGTTTCTGACCGAGAGTGAACCAGCAAGGAATAGGTGGGTTAAGTTTAGGGTTAGGGTGATGAAAGCACACATAGAGACAACTCTCGATGCTGCCCAAGAGGGATCGGGTCTTGTAAAGCTCCGGAGAAGAAATCTCTTGGAGATGAAGAAGAGAGTCGGATAGTACACTTTAGAGATGCGTGCGAAGCAGCTCATCACCAAATCATCAGGAAGTGACGAAAACGGTATCGATTTCCGCAGCGTCTGTTGTGAAAGTTCTGGCGACGATTTCTTCTTCTTCTTAATCAATGGCTCTTCGCCGGGAGATCTAGGCGGAGACGACATGAGCAGTGAGATTCGTCCGTGCGAACTCGATGTTTTAAGAGGTCTTAATGAGCCTCAATTTATTAAAACTATTGAATATGCCTCGGCCCATACTTTTTAGATTGTGTCATTAACTTAAATTATTTCGTTTGGAATCATTATTTAATTCCTAACTTACCAAGTCTCTATTTTACATGTTTGTTTCCATTATACATTTGTTTCTTGAGAAAAAAGGCTGCATGAGGGGCAAATATGTGGCTTTGGCGTTCAATTATGATAAAAATTATAAGAATCTCGGATATAAAAACAAACAACGCGCGCGTGGTATAGTCTAGCCATAGTTTATTACT